AGAAAGCTTAATTGAGTGGTAACAAACCTCATTACCCATGCTTTCATCAGCTTTCTGCATTGTGCTGATTTTATTAGAAATTTCTGTGTTTTAGAAATCAGTGACTAGACACCACCCTGTTCCTATCTGAATAGCCTTTTTTTTTTTAAGGGCTTTTAAAAAAAATTTATTGTTATGTTAATCACCATACATTACATCATTAGTTTTAGATGTAGTGTTCCATGATTCATTGTTTGTGCATAACACCCAGTGCTCCATGCAGAACGTGCCCTCTTTAATACCCATCACCAGGCTAACCCATCCTCCCACCCCCTCCCCTCTAGAACCCTCAGTTTGTTTCTCAGAGTCCATCGTCTCTCATGGTTCATCTCCCCCTCTGATTTCCCCTTTGCCACAGCATATGTTCCTCACCTGGAATCCAGGAACTTTGGGCTGATTGATATGAATGTTGGCCATCCTCATATACTTTTAGTACGTCATAAACCTATGGTACTTCTTATGCATAGTCAGGGTCAAGTTCAAAAAAGAAAAACTACATAAATTATTTCAACAGAGAGAATGTAGGGATGCCTGGGTGGCTAAGTCAGTTAAGCGTCTGCCTTCGGCTCAGGTCATAATCCCAGGGTCCTGGAATTGAGTCCTACATCAGGCTCCCTGCTCGGCGGGGAGCCTGCTTCTCCCTCTGCCTGCCACTCCCCCCGCTTGTGCACTCTCTCTCTCTCTGAGAAATAAATAAATAAAATCTTAAAAAAAAAAAGGATATTTAAAAAAGAGAGAGAGAGAATTGAATCTGAATAATTGTTAGTCATGTATAGGGAACTGAAAAGGCAAACATGGAAGCTAAGGTATCACAAAGATAGTAACCTCAGGAAGCAAGTACAAGTCTTAGAGCTGAGGGAAGACAAAAAATGAAGACATTGGTATTAACAAAATGTAGAGTCTTGGAGGAGGAGCACCGCAGAGCTGATAATTAATCCTTTGAGGAAGGACACTGGTCAGGTGGTGTTATATCTCTGGGTTTACAGTAAGGGTGGTACTGGTATTATTGGAAAAGTGCAAACAGAAACCAAACAGTGCAATCACTTGTCATCGACAATGTAAAGAATCACTATTGTCAAAACCTACAGGGGGCAGCTGGTAAAGCAAAAACTGGTTTGCAGCGTCCAGCAACACAAAGCAGAGAACAGAATGGTTGGTTTGGGGAATAAACTAGGTCATAAAGTTCACAATGTGACAGAGCCAATCAAAACTATATAGATAAGGATAGTAAGAATTTGAGAAGCTGAGCATAGATTGACCAGCTTATTGAAGAGGAAAAATGCGCAGGATAGTTAGCCAGCTTTATCCAGGGAGTGGCCTTTCTTTCCCACCAGTTACCACTTGGGAACCAAGGGCAGGAGATGCTAAGAAGGAGTTAAAAATACCTATAGGCCATCCCTTACTCATTCATATTAGAGTCTTTTTTTAAAATTAGGACCATCTCAAATAGGTCAAAAAGCTTACCCCCCCTCCCCTGCCATTTCCCCAACAACATTGTCTCTTTCCTTATCTGGTACTTAGACTTCCAGGAACCTCAGCTCTGAAACACCTGTGAGTCTAATAAAAAACCTAAAATAAATGCAACAAAAGCCTGAAGCTAGTTTGAAATAGATGTCATTAAAGCCATGCACTTGATCTCTATTCAAACAGAGAATATTTGAATTAATATTACACTTAATACTTATCTGGTTTCCCTTGGCAACTGTGCAGGAGTGGCTGAAAGAAAGGAAGAGGAAAAAAGTTACATCATTCTGGCAGCTTCAAGAAGTTACCATGGAGAAGGTAGATGCAACAAGAAGGAAGACAACATTATCACCACCAAAATCAGAATAACAGCATGTAGTGTGGAAGCACTCAGCCCTATAAACCACACAATTTCAGAAGCATCAGTGAAGGAAAAGATAGCCCAACTGTGAATGAAGACAGTGCAGCACCCTGGCAATATTCAGGAAAAAGAGTGGTTAAGTTCTACCTGCATCATCCCTCTGAGGCATGTCATTTTTTATCACAGACTAGAATAACCATGTGTCTGTTTGCTTACCACTGCATGCTCAGTGCCTAGAACAAGACAAGCATTCAGTTAGTGAATCATGGATAATCATATTGATGCCAAATCACACAAAAAAAGTGTTAAAATTAGTACAATTTTTTTCTAGTGGCAAATGCAGAGATGTATCAATTGTAGTTTGGAAAATCACTATTATGATAAGCCACTACCTGAGGGCTGTAGAAAGTAGAAGCAGAGGGAGTTATTTACTTCAAAAGCAAAAATGCACTGATGCATATTACTACCCTGATTCTCAATAAGCACGAAGTGAGAATTTCTTTCAACATTATTTATTTAAGGAAGTGTTGTATTTCTCCCTCTCAACTAATCTATTTGGCAGCTTTTGTTGCTGCTATTCAAACACTCTTCTGTTGGGATGCATGCAGTGGAAAAAATAGGTACATAATGGACACTTACATGAGTATGTCACAAGTAAAGAGGACAGAAGAGATGCTTTAAGAAAAACTTTGAAAGCCATCTCTTATTTGGTGTAACCAGAGGATGCTAACAACTTAAAGAGTCTAAAAAGTAGCAACTGGAAATGTCATGGTTCTTTTAAACTTAAAAGGCTGTAGAGGCTTTAGAGTTTTACTTTTTAAGTCTAACATTAAGATTTTTAAGAGAAACTCTTACTAATTAACACACACCAAGAACATTATAAAGCTAGATAAAATGCAAAAACAAAGAATCAGTCATCTGAAGATACTGAAGAGCAGCCACGTAGCCAGGCCAGGAAAGTCAAGATCCTAGAGGAGAGGTAAACACACTGGAATAAAATGGACATTCTCCACCAATTTTCCTCTCAGGGAATTTTCCATTTCCTAGCTAGGAGATAGGGGCACAGCATAAAACAATGGTCAACAGCTTTAACAACCTCATGAGGACAGGAAGACAAAAATTAGGATTCAAGACAAGTACAGCAGCCAGGATCTCAGAGAGAAGAGAATCACAGAGAAATGAATATGACATTCTACAAGGATTTTGCCTCCAAGAATTTCTCTGAATACTAAATCTTTAGGGAATGGGGTAAGGAGGAAGAACAGTAACAGTAAAAACAGAACAAACAAACAAACCCAAAACAAAACAAACACACACACACCTCAAATTTGTTAAGGTGTTTAAAGGATATACAGAAATTAAGGCAGTCATATGTAGCTAAACAGACAAAAATACGAGTTCAGAGCCTGAAATGGACAAGGAATTCTGGACAATATGTCAGTTTTCAAGTAGAGATTTCTGAATGACTATACCCTAGTTTAAAGGCTACAAAGTAATATATCATCCCTCACAAAGCTTTAAGCTTTGCCTCCAACCATCTCAAAGCCTGATGGGATCAATGATCACTCTGTCTCTACTTAAATGCGGGCAAGAAGAAAATTTAATCCTCTTTGGAGGAAAATAACATCATCCAGTGCCTCTGAAAGTTTCATATACCATGTCCAGTATAAAATAAAAAATGTACTGGACCAAATGATTAAAAAGCAAAATAAAAATAGATGGTAGAAATAGATACTCAGATGAATCCTTTTTTTTTTTTTTTAAAGATTTTTATTTATTTATTTGACAGAGAGAGAGACAGCGAGAGAGGGAACACAAGCAGGGGGAGTGGGAGAGGGAGAAGCAAGCTTCCTGCTGAGCAGGGAGCCTGATGCGGGGCTCGATCCCAGGACCCTGGGATCATGACCCGAGCTGAAGGCAGACGCTTAACGACTGAGCTACCCAGGCACCCCTGGATGAATCCTTTTTTGAAGTTGTCAATCTTATAAGTTAAAATAACAATATATTCAAAATATCAAGGGAATGATGCAGAAAATAGGTGAAAATATGGAGAATTTTGTTAGAGACCTGAAGACATGTAAAAATAAATCAAGTAGAAATCCTAGAAATTAAAAATAAAGTTTCAGAAATAAAGTACTCAATATGTAGGATTAAAAACAAATTAGACACAACAGAAGAGATAATTAGTGAACTGGAAAATAGGTCAGAAGAAATTACACAGATTAAAGCAGATAAAAAGAATGGAAAATAAAGAGAATTATAAAATGGACTTGTAAGGCATGGTAAAACGCTAAAAATATGCAATCCCAAAAGAGAGGAGAAAGAGAATGGGCAAAATTGTATTTGAAAACATATTGTCTGAGAATTTTCCAAAATTGTTGAAAGACAATAAGCTATCAATTCAAAAAGCTTGAAAAACCTCAAGTAGAACAAATATAAGGAAAATAATATCTAGACACATCAGAGTAAAATTGTTAAAAATTAAAGAAAAAGGAATAAATCTTAAATCAGAGGAAAAGGGAGAGATGCATAATTTTAGAGGAGTAAAAATAAAAACTGATAGCTGACTCCTCAAAAGAAAATATGGAAGTCAGAAGACAATGGAAGAAAATTTTCAAATTTGAGTAACAGTCAACCCAGAAAGTTTTATCCAGTTAAAATATCTTTCAAAAGTGAAGGTGAAATAAAAACAATTTCAGACATACAAAAACTTGGGGGAATTTAATGCCAGTAGACCTACACCAAAATCAACACTGAAACAGTTCCTCAGGCAAAGAAACTGATTTCTCATTTAAGCTCAGTAACACAAGGTATAGAGAAAGAAGAAAGGGTAGATATATGGTTACAGCTAAATGAATGTTGACTAGTTAAACAATGAAAATACCTTGTTGAGGTTAAAATATATGTAGAATTAAAATATATGGTATTGATAACAAAAATAGATGTTAGGGAGAAATAGAGTTAACCACACTATTTTTCGAGAATAAATATAAAATAAAAGCATTGGGAAGCAGCCAGAAATGGGTAGGCTTGAGCTATCTGTTCTGCACATTTTCTCATCTCTGGGCTAGGGGAACCCAGGAGAAGGTGCCCAAGGGGTACTTCATAGAAATGAGGGAAGGAAAATAAGTCAAACCTGAGCCAGCTCTTGCTCTCAGGGAATATGCAATGGAGTGTGGTGTGTGGCTCTTCCTTTGGGCACCCTGAAGAAATCACTCATGTTCCATGGAAAGCAGCTTTTGGACACCTGTGAACAGAAGGCATGAAGCACAGCCAGTTCACATCACCAGAGAAGCAGTGACAACAGAAGACAGCAATAGAAGACAGCAGTCTCATCCAGCATGGGTCCTCCCCTCTTCACCCAGGGGAGGAGGGCAGTTGACATAACACAGTTGGGGGATTATTAGGGAAAAAAGAAAAATGTTTTCATCTTGAGAATAGTAACTATTTTCATTATCTATTGCTATATAACAAACCACCCCAAGACAGTAGTTTAAAATAATAATATTTAATTATTTCTTATGACTCTATAGGTCAACTGGGCTGTTCTACTCCACCTCATGTCCAATGAGGGCACACATTGTTGCATTCAGCAGGGGCTTGGCCTGGTGCTTCAGTTCTCCTCCGTGTGGTATTTCATCCTGCAGGGTCTGTTCATGTGACCTTATTTTCCAGCAGGATAGCCTGAACTTCATCATAGCATCACAACTGTGAGGGAGCCCAAAATGTAAAGCATCTGGGAAGCCTCTGCATGAATCATGCTTACAAGTTTCCCGTTGGCCAAAGCAAGTCACATGGCCAAGCCCAGGGTCAGTGTGGGAGGGGGTCGTACAAAGACTCAAATACCAGGAAATGTGGTTAACTAGAGGCTACCAATGTCACAGTCTACCACAATAACTAACATTTTTTTTTTGAGCTCTTCCCAAATGCTAGGCACTGTATCAAGCACTTCACATACAGTAACTCTGTTTAAACCTCACAACAACCCCCATGAGGCAATGTTCCCTTTATAAAGAAAAGAAGCTGAAGCCCAGAGAGTGTAAGCAATTTGCCTTAGTCATACAGCTGGTAAGTGGTGAAACCATTAAATCCGATCTCAGTGCCCCCAAACTTAATCATTTCACTTTACCGTCCCAACAAGTTGAGACTCCTTAATAAACTCATTATGTTTATTATGTATTCTTATTGTTTTCCTCCCTGCCCTTTCCTTTATTTTAATGAATTGCCTGTTTTCACTGTTCTCTTTTCTCCTCCTGGCAATATTGAGTTTAACAAAGAACTCTCTAATAGTTTCTTTTAAACTTTTATGAGCATTTGTATTTACATTTCTCTGTTAATACCAAATTCAACAATAATTATGTCTCTCACCTGTTCTCTGAAGAGACCCTTAGTTCATTTTTATAAGTTAAAAAAATAATATAATTCATATTAACAAGACATAAACCTAAGTAAAAGATAATCAGGGATATGGCTTTTCTATTTAAAGAGTCCTTTTGGGGGTCCTGGGTGGCTCGGTTCTTTAAGCATCCAACTCTTGATTTTTGGCTCAGGTCATGATCTCAGGGTTGTGAGACTGAGCCCTGCATCGGCTCTGTGTTGAGCATGGAGCCTGCTTAAGATTGTCTCTCTTCCTCTCCCTCTGTCCTTCCCCTTCCCCCCACCCCACTCGAGCTTGCACAGGTGCTCTTGCTCTCTCTCTCTCAAAAAAAAAAATAATAATAAAAATAAAATAGAGTCCTTTCTTAACATTTTCATTATAGTTCTTAGCCATATAACCAGCATCATTTTGACTTAAACACATACTTTACTGAATTAAACACTAGACTTCATTTCTTATGTTTCATGTCTTTTTGATCTTGAGATTTTATTCTGCTACAAATTTCATTTGGCTAGAATACTTCCTTGAGTACTTTTATTTCCACAAAGTTACCTTGGTAGAGAAAACTGTCCTTTGCTACCTATTCTTCCCTTCTTTCTGGAGTAATAAGACCTCAAAACTTTAGCTGGACATATGGTTTCTCAGAGGAAATCAGTTTTCCAGGTTCTTTTTTTATAGCTGGGTATGGTCATGTGACATTCTGATGAATGGGATATGAACAGAAGTAACGTGTTCAATTTTCAGAACTTGCCTTAAAGGAAAGGGGTATCCCTCTACTTCCTCGTATTCCTTCCTGCTGATCTAAATGTGTATGTGATGAAATGAGCTGGAAGGGTCATCTTGGACCACAAGTTGCAAGTTTGGTGGTGGCACAAGCTGAAGTGCCCAGTGGTCAGTGATGGCAGATGTGGTCCTGGATGCAGCTGTCTGGGATGCCTTGCACCAATCTCTTTAGCCTGGTTCTTTAGCACATATAGAGATGTTGTGAACCACCTGACATATTTTCAATATATTCCTTTTCTTAGAACTTCCAGTTTCTGAAACTTGCAACTGAGGATATGACAGAGATATTGAAAAGACACAGTTGTAGGCAATAGACCTTCAGGGAAAAGAAGAGGTGATACATGGGTTAGTTATAAGGTATGATTGAAGCTGAAGGTGTAGAAAATTCAGTTAGTATTAAATGATGTGACCTGATAGTCCATGGAACATAGTCTCCAAAGAGCTAATTAAATTACCATCTGTGGTGACTATCTGAAATAAAGTGCTTTTTTTTTTTAAGATTTTATTTATTTGACAGAGAGAGACACAGCGAGAGAGGGAACACAAGCAGGGGAAGCAGGAGAGGGAGAAGCAGGCCTCCTGCGGAGCAAGGAGCCCGCTGCGGGGCTCGATCCCAGGACCCTGGGATCATGAGCTGAGCCGAAGGCAGACGCTTAAGGACTGAGCCACCCAGGCGCCCCATGAAATAAAGTGGTTTTGAAGGCATTGGCAACTAAATGGCTATTGCCATAGAACACACGAAAATTATGAGGAATTCAAGGACTGTGACATGGGGTAGCTTTTCTAATGTCTCCAGAAAGCTTAAAGTAAGAGAACGTTCAGAATCCTAATGTTTTTACTTATGTCACAGTCTGAAACCTGTGGACTTTCTAGATTTTACTAACATAACCTGCTTTTCTAACACCACAGCATTGAGATAGCTGGAAAATAAATTCAAAGTCTGACCTCCAAACTTACTGAATTATAGGGCCATTAAACCTACAGTCTTGCTGTTATTTGTCTGGTGTGCAAGAAAGGACACTGATCAAGAAAGACTGGGATCCAGTAATTAGAAATGGTGTATATAAAATGATTTGGAACACCTTCAATTCCCACTTCCATTGAATCTCTTACCAGCTGAAATGTGTTTTGTATTTTTCTTCTAACAGCAAGCAATCTCTAATTCTTAATGAATTGGTATCCCACAAATTTAACTCAATTCTGACACTGTCTACCTGGAGATACCATCAGATCCCACAGATTAAGGGCTGAGTCCCACAAGAATGGCCCCCATTTCAGATGCCAACTGGAAGTCCAGGTTCTGACCAACCAGCAGTAGATTGGAAGTTCCCACAACCCTCACTTTGGGTTTGATTAATTTACTAGAGTGGCTCAAAGAACTCAGAGAAACATTGTACTTACTAAATTACCAGTTATTGTAAAAGGATATAACTCAGGAACAGCCAGATGGAAGAGATGCATAGAGCAAGGTTTGTGGGAAGGGTGTAGAGCTTCCTTGCTGTTTGGGCTCTCCACTTTCCCCCATTTCCACGTGTTTGTTAACCCAGAAGTTCATCAATTCTTACTGTTAAGAGTTTTTATAGAGCTTTATCTGTAGCTGCCCTTCCCCTCCCCTTAATGGAAGTCAGTGGCTGGGTCTGAAAGTTCCAGTACTCTAGTCACTTGGTCTTTCTGGTGACCAGCTCCATCTGGGGGCCCCACCTTAAGTTGTCTCATTAGCATAAACTCAAGTTTGCTCAAAAGGACTTCTGATGCATGACAAAAGACAATCCTATCACTCAGGAAATTCCAAGGCTCTTTAGGAATTCTGTGCTGGAAACTCAGGACAAAGATCATATATATTGATTATACCACACTAGCAATGCAGCTACCTCTTACCTATCAGATGAAGCTGTTAATTTAAACTGGGAAGATTTGTCCGAAGGGAGAGCAATGTACTTCAGGCCTCTCTCATATACACATCTCTCCAGTTCCTTAACCAGAGCTGATACTCAGCTGGTACCACCAGTAAGCTGTACTGGTTGTTTGTAACTGGAATCTATTTTGATTAGGATCTGCTCTGATTGATAGGTGTCTATGCCTAAATAATAACTAGAGTCAGACCATAGTCTGTAAGTCTATGGTCAGGAAAACTGAAACCACTGCTTTTCAGGCAGGAAAATATTTAGTAAAAAGGATTAGAAGTTTATAAAACCTTTGGAAGTGCTGAAGAGGGCGAGGAACAGGGAACGTCATCAGTTAGTTTTGGAAATCAGAAAGTTTCGGGAATCACAGGAAACTGCCATCAATGATCTCAACAGCCTGTTCCACCAAAACAGATGGTGCTCAGTAGAAAGCCTAGAAACCACTGGAAAATCTCATACCTGATGTCGCTGAAGATCATATGCCTGCCTGCCAAGATTGAGCAATAATGATTTCTGCTGTCTTCCACCTTCCAAAATCTAGCAGGAATAACTCTTATTGGAAGAATCAAAACCAAAGCCCACATGACAAGGGAGTCTAGGAAATGTAGTTTCCAGACTTCTGGCCACTGTAATACAGGGGAATGTTTGGAAGGGGAGGGATGATGCTGAGTTTGCATCAGGCAGTATCTGGCATCTCTATCTGAGAGCTAACTGCAACTTTAAAACAAGAGAAGGATAACAGTTCCTAATAATTATAAGATTTTGCTATCTTATGCTATGCAGAAATCTGGAGAGTAAGTGTGAAAATGAATTCTGAAGGTGTTAGAACAAAAAAGGAAGAGTATAATTTTAGATGCTCACTGAATTTACTGATATTGGTATTGAAATAGACAGGATAGGCCAGGTTATGCTGAGGTAACAAACAACCTGAAAATCTCAGTAATTTAAAAAAATAAACGTTACTTCTGATTCACACTACATATTTACTATAGAGCACTAAGGGAAATTAACTCATTATAGACATTCAAGGACCAATACTGATGGAGGTCATCCTGACACATGATTCTATGAATGCAAAAGCAGGAAAAAGATATTATGAAGAATCACATGTAGTTCTCAAAGCTTCTACTCCTGAAGGGATACATGTTACTTCAGCTCATAGTTCATTCCAAAGCAAGTTGC